AACATTCCAATCCTCTAGTCCCACTGGATTTTTTTTTCCAGTGGCCAGCATCCCTCCAAAGCTGTCAACAGGCTGCTGGTCATCGCCATCGTTCAACCCCTTAGTACATAGAGACTTGTCACTTCAAAGACAGCCAAGATTCCACGCCAGCAAAGGCCTGTGTGTGCATTCAACATTACAAGGTACAACAGCCTTCACCAAGAATAATTAAACTCCACTGCAAGAACCTCAATCAGAAGAAAAACTGGCCCATGAAATGCAATTGTTAACATTTCACATTATTTTGAGCAATTAATGAAGTACCAGAAAAGGCACACTCACTTGGATTCCAGTACCATTCTTAAGAACCCAAGGGAAGTGACCACCGACAGCCTGCAACTTCCATCAAGAATTCTCTACGATTTTTTTTTAAAAAAAGATTCCTGTTATTTGTTACCTTCTGCAAGTACTAACTTGTTAAGCATTAAAAAAAAAAAAAAACCTAAACGGACGAATTTGTTAAACATAGGATAGTACTAGCCACGGCAAGTGGGACGTAGAGAGAACATTAAATAAACATTATTTATCACCATAATCCTAAAAGGCAGCTCCTTTTCTTTTGGAACCACCCTTGTACAGATGAAATAAATTTACAGCCATATTGGAGTATCTGCGCGGTGGTCGGCCCCAGCCCGGCCGCCCGGCTCCCCGCACACAGCCCCGCGTCCCCGGGCGGCTGGGAACTCTGCCGGCAGCCGCACGGCTTCCACCTGCTGACAAACGGGACCGCTGCGGAGACCAGTGAGGCCACCTGGGCCACTTTTACTATTCCGGGAGACCGGGTCACCTGCCACCGCGAAAGCCAGGTCCCGCGGTCTCAGCGGAGTCTCCCAGCCAGCAGCGTCCAGACCGTTCCAGAACAAACCGGAAGCCGGCGAGCGTCCTCCTAACCCGAAAAGCTCCCCAGTCTCCACTCACCTGAGGAACCGCCTAGTGGGAAACCTCTAGAGAGAAATAAAAAACGACCCAGTCGGCCTGGTCCACTTCAGCCTCCTCCGAAGCACAAATAGCTGCCTCTCCCGGACCTCGGCAAAATTCAAACTTCCCGCACCAAGATGCTGATTGGAGGGACTTTAACCCACACTTCCGCGAAAGGTGCCCGCCCCTTCCCCTCCAAAGAAGCTTGCGATTGGTTCTCGCCCTGCGACTTTTGAATTGGTTGAAAGGTAAAGGGGCGGTTCAAAGGGTGGGCGTGGGAGAAGAACGCGCGCGGCGGGAAATGAAGAGGGGTTGGGCGGCGGGGGCGTCGGGGTCGGGCGGCTGGCCGGCTGGGGAGCCGGGGGAGTCGGGGCTCGGGCGGCCAGCTGGGGAGCCGGGGGAGTCGGGGCTCGGGCGGCTGGCTGAAGGGGCGGCGGGGCCGCCGAGGTGAGGAGGCACCCGGCGCGGACCGGGAACCCGCCCTGAGCGTCTCGCTTTCCTCAGCAAGGGTCGTGGCGGACCCGCTGCGGAGGCGAAGCCGCCTCCCTTGGAGCCTGCCGAGAGGTTCAGAATTTGTAGGGCTTTGGGAAGCCCTCGTTTAGTCACAAAACAACAAGGCCGCAGCTGACTGTATTGGATTCTTTATTGGATGGTTTAGGCTTACCACACCAGATTTCCCTTTTACGTCATTTAGTGGTACTGCCGGCAGTCTTTCAAGTTTTTTTCTCTGGTCAGGTTGTTTTGTTTGGTTGGTTGGTTTTGGGTTTTTTTGTTTTTTTTTTTTTTTTGTGGAAGCGAAGTGACATTCAGTGAAAAGCATGGATTGGACAGTTGCACCCCGGAAGGCAGCGGTGGTGCCAGGTCGTTGGGTCCTTAGTGGCGCTCCAGGCAGGATGGCTTTCCTTGCCTCCCGCTTGAGCGCTTGGGAGAGGGAGAAAGCTCTGTATGCCTCACAAATAAAAATTGAAAATAAAAACTCTCTATTTAAAGACTGGAAATAGTAGATCCTCTCTTAGGTCAGCCTCCTTTGTCAGCACGATGTATTTGGGATCCACTTCACAGCTTTTGTTGTTGAAATGTCTTCCCCCACTGAATATTGTGTAGCACAAATATTTTTGTAGGCATCTTTTATTTGTCTTAAATACAAGTGTGGAATTTCTGGGTATGTTTGTAAGAACTTATTCCAACCATTTATGCATACGAGTTCCACTTGTTTCCCGCGCTTTCCAACATTTGGAGTTGCTAATCTGACTAACCCTTCTAGTGGGTGTGAAATGGTAACTTGTTTTAATTTTGCAAGTTTTCCTGTGACCAATGGTCATGAATATCTTCTCACATGCTTATTACTATGTTTTATTTTGTGAAATGTTTGTTCACCTCTTTTTAAAAAGTTTTATTTTATTTGAAAGGCAAAATTACAGAGAAATTTTCCATGGGCTGGTTGATACCCCAAATGGCTGCAACACCCAGGGCTGAATCCAAGAGCGTCTTTTGGGTGTCCCACGTGGGTGCAGGGGTCCAAGGACTTGGTGCATCTAACTCTGCTTTCCCAGGTGCTGCAGGCTGGCTAGGAAGTAGAGCAGTCAGGACTAAGCTAGTGCCCATGGGATGCCCGGGACACAGGCAGCACCTTAGCTGTTACACTACAACACCAATGCCTTTGTTCCTTGTTAAAGTTAAAATTTGGGTTTCATTGTTGTTGCACATTTGTACATTTGTAGCAGTTCTGTCTCTTATGGGGAAAGGGTACAAGTCCTTTATCAGATATGTATATGATCACTATATTCTCAAAGCACGTGGCTAGCCTTTTTAAAAATTAAAATGTTTAATTTTGGAATCACATAAAAGGTGCAAAGTTAGAATTCCAAATGTCCACACTCGTTTCTTCATGTTAACTTAAGGATGGAACGTTTGTTAGAGTGTTTGAAGTGACACTCAAATCCATACTTTGTTCAATTTTCTTCCTTTTTACCAACTCATCTTTTTCTTCTCCAAGATTCCATTGAGAATTGTTAAGACTGTTTCTCAGACTTTATTATTGATGACCTTGACAATTTTGGGGAGAACTATTGACTTATTTTGTAGAATGCCCTTCAATTGAAATTTGCCTAAGATTTTTCTCATGATTTCATTGGCATTATGGAGTTTTGGAAGAAAGACCATAAAAATTAAAATGCCATTTTCATCACATCACATCAACAGGATATATTATCAACAGTGCCTCACTGCTAACATGAATCACCTGAGTTTTTAAGTGTTAGCTGCTGTAACATTTTTGCTGTGTGGGTGGTAGGAACCCAGTTCATTAAGGCCTCATCACTGTCTACAGGTGCAGTAGCAGGAGGCTGAAGCAGAAGCAGAGTAACCAGAACTCGGGCTAGGCTCTGAGATGTGGGAGTCACAAGGAGCAATGCAGACCTCTATGCCAAACCCTCTGCCCCGTCATTTTCATAAGGTTTCACTGGTTAGTAGCTGGTTTGTTTGCTCAAGCCCAGTGTTTTTTTTTTTTTTAATTTATCCTTAGTGCTTTGCTTCCTGTCTAAGTGTCATCTTTGCTTAACACAAGATCATTCTCCATGTATTTGGGGGGAAAAAATTGATTTGTATAGCTGCTTCTCAGTAAAGTTGTCTCTGCAAACCAATTTCTGGTGACTAAGTTAAACTGATACCTGATAGAATTAATAAATATGGAAACGCTTGATATATAGGAATAATGTAACATTACATAGTTATTTAAGGAAGGATGTGATGGGGCTCGGCACAATAGTGTAGCAGTTAAAGTCCTTGCCTTACACACACCAGGATCCCATATGGGCACTGGTTCTGATCCCAGCTGCTCACTTCCCATTCAGCTCCCTGCTTATGGCCTGGGAAGGCAGTAGAGGATGGCCCAAAGCCTTGGGATGCTGTACCTCTGTGGGAGACCCAGAAGAGGCTCCTGGCCCCTGACTGGATGGGCTCAGCACTGGCTATTGTAACCACTTGGGGAATGAATCAATGGATGGAAGAACTTACTCTCTGCCTCTCTTCCTTTCTGCATATCTGCCTTTCCAATAAAAATAATTAAAAATTTTAAAAAAAAGCACGTGATGGCAATCTTGATGAGAACAGGGTCAGCTGAATAACAGTGGTATACATTCATATTACTTCATATCACAATGAAATAAAGATTCCTTGGAAATTACTAAAACAGATCCAAGTGTGATCAAGGACTCAAAAGTTTTAGTGATGAAAAGGACATGGATGGCCCAGCGCGGTGGCGCAAGTGGCTAAGGTCCTCGCCTTGCACGCTCAGGATCCCATATGGGCGCCGGTTCTATCCCAGAGGCCCCGCTTCCCTTCCAGCTCCCTGCCTGTGGCCCGGGAAAGCAGTTGAGGATGGCCCAAGGCTTTGGGACCCTGCACCCACGTGGGAGACCCGGAAGAGGCTCCTGGCTTCGGATCGGCATAGCATTGGCTGTTGCGCTCACTTGGGGAGTGAGTCATCGGATGGAAGATGTTCCTCTCTGTCTCTCCTCTCTGTATATCCGCCTTTCCAATAAAAAAATAATAAAAATAAATCTTTAAAAAATAAAAAAGGGCTGAGGAGTTGATTAGCATTTGTTAAGCTTGGCTCCTGCAGGAAATGGGCCTGGAGGCTAGTGGCACCTTGTCTGTCGGACTCATTAGCATCCTATTGTTCTGCTAGAGGCTTGGGGGTAAGGGATATCTGGCTGAATAAAGGGAGGCCTAGAGAGATCTCTTCCACCACTACTGGTCTCCTGTCGGTGTCTGTTTCCCTGCCCCTCACCGTGTCCATGCTACCGGCTGTGCTGCCCGGAACAGAAGATTAAGTGACTTGATTAGATCCCAAACTCTCTTGAGTTGCAGGATCAGGACCAAAACTGAATTCTTTTCATCTTGCTGACTAGAAATGGATTTTTCTACACTGGTTTGAAAATATTAAAGAGTAAAGGCTTTAGTGTTGAATAGATGTGACTTAAAATCACTGCTGGACAACTGGCAAGTTTTAGCATCTCCATTTTCTTATCCACTCTAGGATCATTGGGAGAATGAAATGAAATAATTAGTTCTGGTTCTTCTTCCTACTAAGATGTTTACATGATATAATTACTGAATTTCTCCAACAAGATCAGCAGAAGAAGGGGGCAAATGGTAAGCTATGTGATAAACACCAAAATATGAAGAAATAAAAAATTCTGCGGCAATGGGGCTGTCTCACCTGGTGTCTATGGGATGATAGGTATGGCTTGGAGCAGAAGTCAGTGGGAGGGTAAATTAGGAAAGGAATTGTTGAGTGGTTTTGAGAGAGGAGTTAGAGTGGGTAGTAGGCAGTTAGGGTATTCTGGGTCCCTGAGTAAAAGAGAATTTCCCCACCATGTCTTGAACTCACCAGAGCACGTCTCTTCCAAGGGACAGGGGTGCTATTAGCATATCAATTCCCCACCTGAAGTATTGGCCATTACCTCTGGCCATTGTGGGAGGGCCTCAGGCCGATTTCTTTATCATTGAAAGGAGAGCAGGAAGAAGTAATACACATCTGCCCAAGGCCTGGAATGTCCTATGTCTGGCACCTCTGTGGCCTTTTGTCCCAAGGCCAGGTACCATGGAAACTAGGAATTTTCTTTGTTCATGGAGAAACATCTTTGAGGGAAACCTTTAAAAGGTGCATTCCCCACCATTAATACGGGTTTTGGGTTCTTCTTCTCTTCCTGCCACTATGGCAGAGGGTTTTTGGCTTCTTGTCCTCCTGCCACTATGGCAGAGGACTAGGGTTCTCATTTTCCTCCTGCCACTATGGCAGAGCACTAGGGTTTTGCTTCTTGTCCTCCTGACACTATGGCAGGAGGTAAGGGTCTTTTCTATCTCAAAACCCCCTCCCGTCGCTAGGACGGGAGTCTTCTTTTCTCAGCCTTCCTAATAAATCCTGCTTTAAAACTAAACTGTGTCCGCATGAAAATTCTTCTTTCCTGCGAGACAAGAATTTGAGGTTGCTGCCATAGTCGGAGTCAAAATTCCTGCAACAGTTTCATTTTTGTTTCTCCTTGCCATATACTTGGTGAAAGATGTGCGCGTTCCTTTATAACTAAGATTGCTTGGGAATAGAAAAATAAATATTTGAAGGTAAGCAAATATTTTAGTACTATCATTTTTTTAAATTGAAAGGCAGATATACAGAGAGGAGAGACAGAGAAGAAGATCTTCCATCCGACGATTCATTCCCCAAGTGACCACAACGGCCGATGCTATGCCGATCAGAAGACAGGAGCCTCTTCTGGGTCTCCCACACAGGTGCAGGATCCCAAAGCTTTGGGCCGTCCTCGACTGCTTTCCCAGGCCACAGGCAGGGAACTGGACGGGAAGCGGGGCCTCCGGGATTAGAACTGGTGCCCATATGGGATCCCGGTCGTGCAAGGTGATGACCCTAACCACTGAGCCACCATGCTGGGCCCAGTACTATCATTTTTTTTTCCTTTTTTTTTTTTTTAATTTTTTATTTTAACAATCTTTACATGGTTAATTTGTGCATAAAGGGTCAAGGGCTACAGGAAAGTGGGTAAGACTATTATTTCCAAGTATTATCATTTTTTAAAAAACTGTTAAGACCAAAGGGAAAAGATGACATATAGTTACAAAAACCTAGAAGGAACAATCCATAGATAACAGCAACATAAGGAGAGTGTGTGAGTCAGGAGAAAGCAGGTTGAGAGGATGTGCTAGCATTGTTGTCTACTTAGGGACTTTTACACATATAATTTTTTTTTTTTCATTTAGAAAACCTTATTTGCAAAGGGACCAGGTGAGTGGGGAAAGAGGAGGAAAGGGGCAAACACCCCCCAAGAGAAAGCTGGGAGGTGGGATGCCTCTCAAAGGAGAGAGGGCGAGAGACACATATAATTGCTTAAAAGCAGGAAAGAAAAAATGGAATAGACTAAAATTACAAGTTAAAGTGATTTTTAAAAAAGATTTATTTGTTTTTATTATAAAATCAGATATACAGAGAGAAGGAGACACAGAGAGGAAGATCTTCATCTGATGATTTGCCGCTGTCCTGCAGTGATGGACTTGGTGCAGGGAGCCGATAACACGCGTGGACTCTGACAGATGGTCAAAAGCCAAGGTTAATTAGCAGCACCAGACTTTTTAAGGAAGGTTGTCAGGTGGGTCTCCAGGGAGGAGGGGTTTGAGTCATTTACATCTCAACAGCAAGGTACAGTTGCGCAAAACACGGCTAGTTCCTCAAGCAGGTTCTCTCTCTAAACCTGTAACCAGGATGCATCCTACTCATTCATTGATGCGAGTAGGGATTGTGTCTCCCTCTTAAATAAATAAATGACACATAAAGAAAAAAAAACCAAAAATCCAAATATAAGCACCAAGAATTGTTTTGGGCAGGAAACAGAATGATGCTGTTGTGCCGGATTTTGAAGTCCCCAGATAATCATCAAGTCTAAGGCATAAAGGTGGTTTATTCAGGTTAACCTAGGTCTCCCAGCCACCTCCCCCAGCCCAGCATGATAATGCTTTGATAATGGAAACAAAACGACTTTGGAATTTGCAGGATAGTTCCGGAGACCAGCTCCAGCTGACTGAGAGCTTGCAAAGGATGCGTGGATCTGCGAGATGATAGGAAGAGATAAGACACGGACCACTATGACTTGATGCTCATAATGGACAACTCAGAAAAGTTGCCTTCTTTATTTATACACAAATCATCACAAGTTTTTTCACAATATCCAATTATTTCATGTTTACTTCATGGTTAAGAGAATACAAAAAACAATCCTAAGGAAAATATTTTCAACAAACCATTACTCATTGAAACCTGCATCACCTGGCTGAAGCCAGGAACTCCACGGTTGGCAGCACATGCAGTTACATAGTGACAATTAGTTTACTTATACTCAAAATCAACTTTTACTAAACACAAACTAATATTGATTAAAATATTAAGAATACAGAATTAAAAGATCATAAATGAAAGGATTTTATAAAAGCATATAACATAGATTCTTTGTTAAATTTTATAATCAAATCATGCATTAATTACGGTCACCGTCACCTAGTGCTGATTCAATTGTTTTTTATTCTTTTGTTAAAGGGCAGTGAAAGGGATCAAGGCAATTCAGCTAATCTACAAACAGAGGGCCTTTACAAGAAACTTTCTTTCATCTATATAAACTGTTTTCTTTCCCTAAATATAAGTGCCAATATAAGATTGAGATTTTAAGCCAATTTGAGAGAGTTCACATTTATTTCCTTATAAAAAATGCCCCATATACTTTTGTTTTCTGTGGTAAGAAACTAAAATGCGTCATATCATGTGTTGTAACAGTTCGAGGTGCATGGTAAACAAACTCTTTGTACCTCCATGATTGCCATCTGTTGCAAGATATTATCAAGCCATTTCTTAAGGAAAACATTACTTATACTAGGGCAAACTTTAGGACAAAAGTGGGCACATAGCAGGATGTTTGGAAACATAGTGGGCTCAATTGTATTATTGTATACTTTTAACTGTGTGTCATAGCCTTACGTTACTACAGGTGTTTTTATCATAACATGATAGATCAATTTGAGGTGTCACACCACTTACAGGAATCACTTCACATTAGCAGAAAAGCAACAACAAGACCCTCAGAAGAATTCTATGAAACATCAGAGAGGTGATTGAGTTCCATACAATGGGTGAGGCAGCAATGAGGTGACCAGAGACATTCTGCCGGGCCTTGCCACGCGGCTAGAAACTCCTCGCAGCCTTGCTAACTGAGGAGCGGTGTTCATCACACACCCATGCCATCAGACCCAACTGCACGGCTCCCCACAGGATAGGCCAAAAGTGAAGTTTTGAGGGAAAGCTCAAGCCTGAAGTGCTTCTGTTGAAAAAGGACACTTCGGGCCTGGCGGCGTGGCCTAGCAGCTAAAGTCCTCCCCTTGAACGCCCTGGGATCCCATATGGACACCGGTTCTAATCCCGGCAGCTCCACTTCCCAGCCAGCTCCCTGCTTGTGGCCTGGGAAAGCAGTCGAGGACAGCCCCAAAGCTTTGGGACCCTGCACCCGCATGGGAGACCTGGAAGAAGTTCCTGGATCCTGGCTTCAGACAGGCATAGCATCGGCCATTGTGGTCACTTGGGGAGTGAATCATCAGATGGAAGATCTTCCTCTCTGTCTCTTCTCCTCTCTGTATATCTGACTTTCCAATAAATAAATAAATCTTTAAAAAAAATAAAAAGGAAAAAGACACCTTCACATTAATCAGCTGTGTGTGTCCCTCCTCAAACGTTAGGAAAACAGAGTAAACCCAAAGAAAAGAGAAACCATGAAAAAGCAATCTGATTAGAAGGCATAGACAGTTTTTTAAAAATGCAAAGTTAAAATGTTAGTGTTTTCTTTAAAAATCATATTGACTCCTCTTTTTTTATGTATATAAAATGAATTCTCTGAGATTTATTTTTAATGTTCAAGTAGTATTTTTTAAAAAATTATTTTTATGGGAAATGCAGATTTACAGAGAGAAGGAGACAGACAAAGATCTTCCATCTGCTGGTTCACTGTCCAAGTTAAGTAGTATTTTGTAGCAGCTGTGATTCAGCAGGTTCAGCTGGTGCCTGTGTTGCCAGTATTCCACATTCAAGTGCCAGTTGACGTCCGGGCTACTGGCTTCTGAACCAGTTTCCTGCTATTGTGCCTGGGAAGAAACCATAATAGCTCAAGTAGTTGGATCCCTGCCCATCCATGTGGGAGATGTGATTGGAATTCCAAGCTCTGGCTTTGACCTGGCTCAGCCCCAGCTGGTGCAGGTATTTGGAGAATAAACCAGTGGAGAGATCTCTCTCTCTGTCTCTCTCCCTCTTTCTCTCCCTTGCACTGTGTCAGTAAGCCTTTCAAAGAAATAAGTAATGTTTAATAAAATAATAAAGTAGTAGCTTATCTCCTACATCTTTGGAAGTGTTAAGTGCTCCATAAGCAAGCCCCATTGTTATTCTGTGGTTAGATATTTGTTAGGGTGAAAAGTATAGAAGACTGATTTGTTACATTCTGAAAGAAATCCAGAAGCAGAGTTTTCCATAATTTTCCCTTATGTCTCTTATGCCCTTTATATTTTGGGCCTATTTATAAGCCCATTTTCCAAAATCTGTTTCTTTGTAGTGT